AACCTAAAAATACAAACCAGAGAAATGCAAAACTTCAAGGTCTTGCATACAATATTTCAATAGCAAATTCCAAAAATAAGAACAAAAATAATTTGATATGTAACTATACAAAAGAGGAAAAAAAAAGGATTGCAAAGCGGAACCATGAACAGAAGACACTCTAATGACTAACATAAGTTATTACCTTCTCAACAATCGATGTGAGTTTGAAAGTCAAGTATAACCCCGTCATCAGTGATGAGAAAAGGCTTCCATATTCTTTATTCAGAAAGAAACGATACCATACAGGAGCTGGCAGCAAAGCACGGTAAAGCAGCAGTAGGTACTCAACCAAAGTCAGCATTTGACCCTGTTAATTACAAATCTCTTTATCAGATAACAATATTAAAGAGCACTAAACAGCATAATTTACCAAAATCTTCAGCACAGTTATTAGTGGTACGGAAACATACCTGCCTACGGTAGTTTTGGCCTCTGCTGTTCTTGTAATACAACAATAGAAAGCACTTGAAGATCATTGCAGCCTGACGGACCAGTGTATCTGGGGAAAGAATCAGATACGATAAATTAGTTGAAACTGCAAGCAAATGACTCTATGCAAAAGAAGAAAAATTACAATGACTAAATCACATGAACACACCGTTCAACATGATAATGAATATAGCATGCCAGAAAGGTGGTATATGCTTTGGTGGAAGCATCACCAATGGATATAGAAGATCATCACTCCAGTACCACCAGTAAAACCCAACCACATGAACCGCCAAGAGAATAACAATGCCAATGAGAACAGATATTTTCCTCTCACCCTGAAGAAATTTAAACGACTTCTTGCTTAACACTAAATTTTATGACAATACAGACCAAAGGAGGGCTTCAGATTTCTGGTTCAGCAATTCACTCCTAAAAGAGGATGCAGATATATAGGGGTATCTAACGGTTGCTTAAGTGCTGTCTGTTTCCGTAAAAAATGAAACCTGCAAATGTTGCAATAAATCAAATATAAATTCTGAACAAAATAATATTATAAAAGTCCATCGTCAACCTCAAAAATTGAAAACGAAAGGATATGAATCCAAAACCCCAATAAATTGACAAAACGGAGAGCAAAGTGCCACCTAAAAATCTAGGAAAAGCAAAATAACATTTTCAATTGGCTTGGTGGTTGTTTGGAAGCCATGTTAAACAGAAAATCTAGGATAGATATTATAATGATAGTAAAACCATGCAAGAAATATGAAGCACAAGGGGAGCATCCTCCTCAACAAACAAAATGAAAACACTTCATCTTCTTTCCCCCGTGTTTGAAGCCCACATATCTGACAATGTATCCATTTGCTCTGTTCGGATAAGAAATTCAAATGCCAAAGGGAAACAAAAAGGAAAAAAAATATTAAAAATAAAATTCTCTAGCTATCTATATTGTTGTGCGACATGCCAACTGCCTGTAACTTTTAGAGATGTAGATGGGAGTAAAATAATGTTAAGGCCATGCCTTCTCATATGTGCACAAGTGTTATCTCTTGTTAATTAGGTAATTGGGGAAGAACTACTTTTATTTCCTTAAATCTTTATTTCAAAATATAAAAGATGAAATGGATTTCATATCATAATCATGTGACTAAGCTTTTTCAGCCATTTAATTCCTATATAGCCAACTCCACATGATTATCAATTTATCCGCAGTTATTCACTCTAAATTACAAATATGTATGAAGTGGTTGCCCATAGCAGAACCTAAAGAATAATAGTAGATTCCCCCACATGTACTACATACACACGAATAGTATACAGTGATAATACTTGATGGTCTCTTACAGGATATTTTAGTCAGGATCAGGAGAGAAAGGAACCTTGCAAGTGCTGACGAATGAAAACAACCAACTGAAGCAATGTGAAAGGAAGGACCCGCTCAATCCACTGAGCAGCCTGCTGTATATCGTATCTCTGGTAAGAAGAAGAATCCCTGCTATTACCCTCAACTCCCTCAGCAGCCTCTGGATCACCACTTGCATTCACAGATGACGAAACTCCTCCTGCCTCACGATCATCCCTCAAATCCAATTGACTCTCCAATACCTACGCCACTAAAACCACGGAGCTGGAATTTAAAATCGGCTGCACAAAGGCTTCATTTTGCCCACTCAGCTGGCTAACTGTCGGTGACGAAGGTGACACATTCCCCACCCTATCATGTTCATGTTCACCAGCACTTATTATTCTAATGGAAACTTCCCCTCCACCACCGCCCACGTTGTCTGCCAGGGACACTGCAGAGTCTTCAAAACGCAGCCGCATGTGGTCTCGATAACTAATGGAGGCCCCAGTGTTCAATAAAGCATCGGGCTCTGACTGAATGGACCTGGTCCTAATAATACCAGTGTATTCCAACAATGTAGACAGCGGAAATCGTAGAATACTAGAAGCAGTTAAATTCATTCCGTGTCTTCTAGAATGAGAGCTGGTCATGGAAGAAACACCTCTGTAAGAATCCGAATTTCCGCCGGACGCTTCCATTTGAGTCGATGCCCTAACCCTAAACCTAAGCCTAATCAAGAATCACATACAGAAGGGTCAAATTACATACAACGTGAATAAACAACGCATAATCAACAGAATTTATATGGATAGACATGTAAATATGGGGAGAAAAATAAGAGAAATGATAAAATAATGAAAATATATGAGAAAAGATGAAGGGATCGTGAAAGAACGAAATTATACCTTGGGGATCGAAACTCCGTGGATGATCCTTGCGAGTCCAATAAAGGAAAGATGATTCATTGAGATTTTGAATTGGGTGAAAATAATCGATGGGAATGGAAATG